GATGGACTCAAGCGTGGCAACAATAGTGAGGTTGGCCCAGGATTGGGCAGTGTTTCGTTCTGCTGTGCATAAGGTCGCTATTAGTTGATACCAACTTGATGGCACCTAACAACAACAATATTAATCTTAAGAAAATACTAAGCATTTTAATAGGATAATGAACAAGGGACATGAATAGGTGGTTCACTAAAGAAAGCTAAGTAGGTAATAGTCTGAAAATGGTATTTAACCTAGGATAATCAAGCTCAAAACATTTTTATTTGTCAAACTGACAACAATACGAAAAATTTAGTCCACAGCTGGTAGGAGCCTTATTGAAAAGCAGCTTGGAGTATGTCAAGAGGCTTAACCTTTTATTCTATAACTTAACTCTGGGACATTATCGTAAGAGAATAGTGAGATACGGATTTATATACAGGGTAGAATAAGTGTTGACATATACCCATTGTAGAATGCTAACTGGCCTTTACAAATGACACTTTTGAAGAACATGGAAAAATCTTTCTAATGTTAAAATGGGTAAAGAATTTTAAAGATGCAAAACTATACGTGGTATGTTCCTAGTTATGTTTAAAATGCCGTGTGTGTGTGTTTGCATATACAAAAATGGGAAAAAATATTCTGAATATGTGCTTTTCATATTCCTACTAAGCAGAGAAACAGTCTAAGAACCTACTCCCTGTGACTTTCGTTTTAGTGCTCTTCGTTAGTTTACATGGATCTTTTGAAGCTGTATGGTGTCAGTTGTCATTAGTATTTAGTATCAAGGACCATATTTTATGTAAATAATGCACACATTAGATGTGGGTGCTTTTTTTTTTTTCAAACTGTGCAACCCCTGCATGTTAGTTTAAGAAGTACCCTATGTTGATATTTATTTTACATGTTGCCAACTTCAAAAGTTTTATCTGTCCAATGAATTTAATGTTACTGGGATAAAACTTTCCTCACTGAGATTTCACTTAAGGTAGGTGTTTTTTGTAATTTCCATCAACACTCATGGAAAGCAATTGTTGAGAATTCAAACAACATATTCCATTAAGCAATTCATCTGTACCAGACTTCTTTAAACTATTCAAGAGGAAAAATAACAGTTTTTAATGTACACCTGACCC